TTTACGGGTTAATCTAACCTGGTTAGGCTAAACTAGTTTGTAACCATACAGACATCCCAGAAATGCAGGCACATGCCTGCAGTGGCTCAGGCTAGAAGCCAGGGAGTGGGGAGGGGGTGCTAGAGAAGACCTCCTGTCCCTTCCATAGTGCTTAGCTGAGGGGTGCGTAGCCAGTCCCCAGCAGAATGCTCTGACTAGGGAGGGGTTCCCCTGCTCCTAAGTAGCCCAGCAGGCAGTTGATAACACAGTGTTTATTACCCTTAACTCAGTGTTTATCACCCCATCAGAACACAAAGTGTCTCTCCAGTAGTTCAAGTTCTTAAACAGTTTTTCCAAGGAAGGAACCAGTCTCCTACAGCATAGACCGTAGCCAGCATGTGATATGCTAGCTAATGCTGAGAGGTGTCTGTGTAAGACAGAGGGGAAGACAGGGGAAAGCCAGGCAGATGCTTGCAGTCTGTGCCGGAGCTCCAGCCAGGGAGCAGAGGGGTGGGGTCAGCTCTGCTGTGGAGCAGGGAGCCCAGCGTGGAGAGCATGCTGGGATGCTGGGGGAGTCTGGTTTAACTAAAATCAGAAAGGGGTCTGGGACAGACATTATATAAACTGGTTTGAGCCAAATCAGTTAAGTCTGATACTACATTCAACCAGGTTCATCTCAAACTGGTTTCAGCCATTTTGAAACTGGTTTATGTGCACTAAGTGTCTGTTCTGTTACAGGTTTAAACCAGCTTCTGATCACTTAAACCAGTTTGTGTGTAATGTGTGTCCCTAGCCCAGGAGACCTGCCTGCCTCACCCTCCTCACCTCTCTCCCATGCACAAGGACTCTGTCAGGCCTTCTGCCACTTGATTCAAATCTGTTATGCCTTTTCAAATTCCAAAGAACAAAATGATTGGCATCATTCAGTATGCTAAACCTCACAATGACTCACCTAGATCAAGTGAGATTTCTAGAGGCTGGAGAGGCAGTTACAGCCCAGCTAAAGAGGATGCAGTGGCAAGGTGGGATTAGGTATTCTGCAGCAGATAGGGGAGAGCCTTACCTGAATTTTTATGAGTATTATAGAAGATTTGGTTCAAAAGGTGGATAAATATTTGCAGTCATTCTTATTTTAGCCAAACTATTTTAACACAAAGCATTATAAAACAGAGCTTAAGTTACCATGGAAATTGATTGAACTAGAAACACTTACTGTAAATTTGTAGTGTAAAAAGAGCAACAACATTGATGGGTAGGCTGAAAGAATAGGAGTAAAGTTAGTTTAGAGCTAGGCAGGCACAATGATTTGGATGGTCTACTTCCTCTTCTTAAAAGTGTGCATGACTTTTATATCTCTGCTTTTTTTCCCTAACACTTTTACTGGAAGCTCTGGCCATATTTTAACCAGTGGCTCCCAAAAAGCTGTCCCTCATGATTTTAGTATAAATGCTAAGCCCTAGCAAGGTGTACATTTTAAAGAAAGAAATGAGGGATGAAAGCACTTATACACTTATTTCCCCAAATGATTATGCCCAGCCACACAGATATCAGCACTACTCAGTAAACAAAAAAATTGCCTTTCACTGGAAATGTTGAGGGCTGCAATATGTCAGTCATGATGGAGCATGTGCAGTGTTTACCTTGTGCATTTGGAAGAAGGATAAGGTAAAGCAGTTTTAAGTGGAACCGAGAGGGATTTCCTTTGCCCTCTTAATCTGTTTCTTTAAAACACCTGCAATTTGCTCAAATTTAGTCCATACCAAATGCAAAATATTTATTTTGCATAAGTTAGCCCCTTGGATGTATCCATTCTGGCAGATATTATTTAGCAACATCTAAATATGAGATGACTTCATTAGCGTCAGAGAAACCACTCCAATACTTTGGTGGTACAAGTGTAACAGGGAGTTTGGATGACACTTGAGCAACAGCAGGAAAGCATATATTCTTTCGAACTTGGAAGAGTTAAATGTTAGCTGTTGCTAAAAATCCAAAGCACATTTCACTTCATGAACATGCAATATCATAGAATCTCTGCAAGATTTTTCTAGCTGCTTTGATAATTTTGGAATCCTTTGCTATCATTAGTACAAAATGGCTTGCTCTTTCAACATGGAATCCCAGTTGTCCACCATCTTCTTACTGAAAGATGCCTGAATACCCTACTTGACACAAATTTCTGCTTCTTGCTTCCAGTTTTCAGCTATAAACTGCTTTTGCACACCTCTTCTGGACAACACCATAAATAGTTTTTTTCAAGATCTTAAAGGGCTTCCTATCAATAGTGTACTTGCTATCAATAGTGTACCAGTACACTACAATTGCCTTCCTTTCCAGCACATTTGCCTCTCAGCTAACTAAAATTAATGGTAACAGGTGGTTGTGCTGTCAAAAGTAAATATACTTCTCTCCTCCAGTCTCTCTGATTTCCTAGCTAACATGGGGGTGGGGAGATGACAGATGGCTTCTGCAAACTAATCACAGATAACATGGTGCTTTGCTGTATTGCATGCATTTCCAGGCATATAACAAACTATTTTTATTTAATATCCTCCCTGTGAAAAGCTGGACACCTTAATGGAATGTGGCATGCTCTAAGGAAATACATAGTACATCCTAAATTGTATTAAAATGTGATTAATCACAGTACTTTGTAATAAATGATGCACAAGATAACAGTAACTGCTTGGTAAAGAATGTTGAGGTTGGTGCTTATTACATGAAATGCTTTTGGCAGTGAGAAAAAGGGAGATCAAAAATCCACAGGCCAAATTTAGTCTTTATTTCCTTTTGATCTGCATTAATTCATCTTAGATTCAGGACTTGATCCAGTGCAGCATATCTATGCCTCTCTCTGCCACACAGACTGTAAAAAGCCACCAACACAGGCTCTGACACAGTTGGACAATGCTTAATTAACAGTACTAAATAAATTCCACAAGTAATTCAAATAAATTGATGATAAATATTCCTAGGCATTTGTGTGCAGAGGAGCTGCTCCTGATCCAAAGGAGTCAGACTATTGTCTTCCAGGGGAGCAGAATTTGGCAATAAATGAAGTAATCCTTTTTAATGCTAGATTTTTATTTTAGAAAAATGTCTAAGCTTACGCTTTAAATCTTGTTTTACAGTTTTAGAACTCATAACTAAACCCCCAGTTTTAAATTTTTATTAAATATCTTATGAGTTAATTCTTTTTATTCCTAATTGTATGACAAAAATGTGCCATATTAAATAATCATGATTAAAACCCCATACAGATGTTTATAGCTATCTTGGATTTAATTAAGTCAGAGGACTAGAAATGAGGTGTTGGGGATAGCCAAAGGTGTAAATTAATAAAGTAAAACAACACAACTTTAATTTGAAAGCTCACAGCTTTAAAGCCTGGTTATTTATAAAAAGGTGAAGGTAGGATGAGGGAAGGAGATTGCTAGGGACAGGTGAATAGGGAAGGGACGAGTACATGCAAAAGAACAAAAAGTATGACAGGACAGACTACAGCCTTAATCCTACAATTCCAAATGCACAGATGGTCCATGACCTTAAGTAGGATTCACTGGAGTCAATGAAGCATGGCACAAGGGCCTATCTCTTGTAAATTGTAAGACTGGGCCCAAAAGTGCATGGATTAATTACATCAGCCTGTGGCTCTGATGAATTCAAATGTTCATTTTGATGGTGTCACTTATGCTTCTAAAGCACTGGCTCCCAACCATTTTTTGCTGTGACCGTAAATGCAGGTCATGACCCCCACCCCCACTGCTGACTCACTCATGCCCAGTGGTGCCAGCAGAGCCTGGGCCAGGCTGGGAACATGGGGTGCAGCAGCAGCAAGAGCCACGCAGACTGTGTGCCAGGAGAGCCCCACAGGCAGACGGGGTGGAGCGAGGGGTGGACACTCTGTGACCCTGATTTGGGTTGCAACCCAATGTTAGGAGCCACCGTTCTAAAGACTATCTTGCCTGGCTTCCCTGTTCTACAGATCCCCAGAATTTATTTTATTATGCACTTTTATTACTATTACTCCTGTATTTCTTGATGCTTGCATTTTCTCAGAGGAAATTATGTGAACCGTGTTATTCAAGTAAATGGATTTAAGATGCTTTGCCATATAAATGACAGCACTGCTGAATTGGGGTGTGCAAAACAGGCTGTATTTGGTTCAGATTTGGCCCAAATTGGGGACAGTGATTCTATTCATTGTTTCAGATCACTGTCCCAATTCAATTTGGCCGAATCTGAAGATTCAATGCTGATTTGGAGAATCAGCGATTAGTTTGTAGACACAGCTTTAAATGTTTTTTCTATATACTTTGAGGTACCAGGTTGTGGCTTGTGAATACTGAGATGGTGGGATGGATGGAGCATCTCACAGGAGCATGGGGGGGAGACCCTGGGGCTCCCCACCCCCAAATGCTTGGTAGCAAACCTGGAAGTGGACCGGAACTACTTCTGGTCCACTTCTGGGTCTACCGCTGAACGCGCAGGGAACACCTCCTCATGCCCCCTCCAGCTCAGCGATTGGCCACAGTGGCTTCTGGTCCACTTCCTGGTCCACTGCTGAGTGTGCTGGGGAACCCAACCCCCCATGCTCCCATGGGATGCTCCATCTGCCCCACCATCTCAGAATTCACGAGCTGCCTGGTACCTTGAAGTATGTAGAAAAAACATTTAAAGCTGTGTCTATGTCTGAATCATAGAATCTTTCTGAATCTCTCCGAATTGATTCAGAGGGTTCTGATTTGATTCGGAGAGATTAAAGGGTCTCCAGATTTGATTTGGATTTGGAAATTCAGGTGCCGAATTGGGCCGAATCTTCGCCAAATCAGCGACCAAAGCTTCATACAACCCTACTGCTCATATATGCACCCTCCCTCTTTGGTAACACAGTTTGGCCTTTAGAGGTCATCCTGAACAGTTAACATCCTGATGTACCATATGCCTTCATATAAGATATATAAAAACCAAAAATAAATCTTTGGTTTATCACCATCTAATTGTTGGTGTTTGTTAATACAGGTTAATCAAAATGCAAACCAGCACTTCTTTAATATGAGGCGAGAGGACCAACTGAAAGAATGGCTAGGAAAGAAGAAGTATGAAAGTCTGGGTGTGGCACAGCTAAGCAACAAGAATAATTAATGGAGCGAAAAATAGAATGCTTTCAGAGAAGTACGGTAAGCAATTTAGACCATCTTCAATGCAAATATAAATTGTGTAAGCATGAACGCTGTGTGGCCCCAGAGGCTGGGGGAGCACAGCAACTGCCCACAGGTGATGGCGGCAGTGGCAGCGGGGGCCTCCCTCAGGCAGCTGCAGCAGTGTCGGCAGCGGACCAAGTGGGGAGCTCCCACAGGTGGCTGCAGCAGTGTCGGCAGCTGGGGATGGTGGCAAGTGCTGACTGGCAGTTGGCGACCACTTGCAGACGCTGCCTGTTGCATTAGCAGCAGCCAGCAGTGATCAGCGACCACCTGCAGATATCTCTGGTGGTGTTGGGGGGGGGGGAAGTGGTGAGCAGCAACCTCCCTTAGGTGCTGCCAGCAGTGTCGGCAGTGCTTTTCACAGGGGGTGCACTACCAATCTCAGAGGGTGCACGTGCACCTGCATGCATCCCCTATGCATCGCAAATGGGTGCATGCATCTATGTATGACTCAAATGTATTTTGATTTTTCCAGATTTCTGAGCATTAGTATAGTATATAAACATATAATGATATACACTCACACACCAATAGAATAGATTTTCTTCCCAAGTAATATTTCATCTCAATAAGTGATGTTCTACCGACATTTGACATTAAACTTTTAAAATCAAGACCTATTTTGTGTACAGCCCCCTATCTATGCAACTGTCCCCCTATCTATGCAACAAGTTAATACTTGTTTAGATGAGTCTCTAGTACTACAAAGCAGAAAGCAAAGCCAATATTTTTTAAAGTAGGGGTTCTCAACCTCCAGCCCATGGGCAAAATGAGCTATACAGAGCTATAGGTATCTGACCTGCAGGGCTTCCCACAGATCAGGAAATCTGGCAGTGGGGGAATGGTGCCAATATATATGGTCACCCTCCCCCACTGCCAAATTCCCAAAATCAAGCCCTGGCAGCAGGTTGGATCCAGGTCATGCTCCCTCCCCGCACTCATGTGACTGAATGAAGTCAGTCAATGCTCTTTCCTCCAGGCTGAATAGGGGTGGGCCATTCTCCCTTTCCCCTTGTAGGGCTAGGTCGGGACTAGGCCATGCCCCTTTTCCCCCATGGGGCCATGCTGGAGCTGGCTTAAACTGCCTACCCCCCATGGGGCTGAGCCACACTCCTTTACCCTGCTGGGCCTAGTTGCCTCCCCCTTGCAGGACTGGGTTGGATCTGGGCCACACCCCCTCCTCCTGTGGGGCCAGGTTGGGGATGGGCCATGCCTGTTTCCCTTGCAGGGCCAGGCCATGGCCTCCCCTTTTCCCTGCAGTGCTGGGCCACACCCCTGCCCTGTGGAGCCACATTAGAGTCAGACTGTGCCCTGGCCCTCTCCTGGTGGCAGGATGGGGCTGTGCTGCAACAGCCCCATGCTGGATCAGGACCACCAGCTGGATTTGGCCTGCATACAACCTGAGCACTGCTCCCCGGCTCACTGGACAAAAACGTTGAGCACCACTGAAGTAAACAGATCTTTTGTACATCTGCCACCAGTCCATCCACAGGTAACTGAGAAATTCTAAGGCATCAATGATGTACTAGCTCTTCTAAGATACCACATATATGGGATGGGAAAGGAATGAATGGTGTGTAATGATCTTCCTTTATGCTTTTGAAGGAGAACATACTTCAGGTTAGATTATCCTTTAGAGAGGACAAAGTGTAATTTTTTTGTCATGCATACTCAATGAGAAAACTGGAGCTGGGACAATTCAAAGAGAAACATTATGCATCCAGCCATTTTGCCCTTCATCTCTCTGCCCACCTTCTTCAGAAAAAAAAAGCTATAACTCACCCTTAAAGTGTTTCATGCTCTCTTTCATGTTCCAATATCCTGTTTAACACTTGCATTTCATGTAACTAAAGAAAAATAGAATTGTCCTTATATAATTCCCAGTTGATCTACTAAAAATGGGCAAATCCTCAATAAATTAGTCAAATTACAGTAATTATATTTAATGTTGAGTTTATCATCAGTACCAAAAGTACTTCTACTATTTGTTTTGCTTATGTTTTTACCTGTATGGAGGAAACTCTAATATCCCTCAACCATGTGGTTAGGTAAAATCAGAGTTTTTTCAGATCCAAGGAAATCTGACATTTGAATAAAATGGATAAGCATTCTATAACAGGGAGTTTAGTGCTCCTGTTACTTTAAGAGTAGAGAAGCTGCAGACAGAGCTCAGGTAGCACTTAAGGAAAGACACCTGATAAGAAGGGGGGCGGGCTTAGAGAATACATAGGCCCAGCCTGAACTGGGGCAGGCAGTTTGGTCCTGGAAGCCATGGAAGGAAATGCTTCTGAGCAGGAGGGCTGCAGAGAAGCTTCTGATTTACACAAGGGATACACTCAAGCCCAGGAGCAAGGCAGGCAAATAGAATACTGCCTTGCCCGTGGTTTGCAATTGGGACTAGTGGGGGGAAAATGGAGGTCCCAGCAGGCCCAGACCCAGAGCCCAGAAACAGGGCAGAGACAATAACAGGCCTGGGAGTAAGGCCAGAGCCTGGGAGCGGGGCAGAGGAAGGTTTAGAAATGGGGCTAGAGAGTGCCCAGTGCCCAGAGAGGTTCAGAGACGGGGCTAGAGAAATCCCAGTGCCCAGAGATGGGCAAAGATGGGCTACAGAGAGCATGCCACCCAGAGAGGGGCAAAGATAGGGCTAGATAGAACCCAGTGCCCAGGGAAGGGCAGAGAGAGTACACTGGGGCTAGAGAGCACATTGACTTGAATGAGCCTGGGAGCAGGGCAGAGTCCAGGACTAAGGCATTAATTGATAACATCTGCCAGGCTTGGGCATGGCTAGAGAAGGAGATGAGGAGGCCAGGAAATTAGCCCATCAGTTGAAGAGCAATTAAATTCTAGCTCATTCAGGGAACACGGGGGCAGCTTCGCATTTTTAAAAATTTATTTATATCAAGGCATGCCAGACGAGCAGATGGGGAGGTGGCCTTGAGAACAGGGTGAAACAGTGGCTAAGTGGCCACCAGGCGATGTCAAAGCCACCCCTGGGCAAGCCTTTTGTTACAATTCCCAATAATCTAAGCGGAACTCTACATAATACCATTTAGTCAAGATTGCCAAATTACATGCGATTATTATTGTTGTTACGTTATAATAACATATTGATACTGCCCTCATGGTTATGCAAATATTGTACTCATGTAAACAGATTGCACTTTGTGCCTTTTAGTAAAATCACCACACATTAAGCCCTTCCTACCTCTTTCTTACTTTTTGCATTGTTGATTACAACAAAATGCTTATGCTGTATTTAGATACAAAACAGTCAAACAGCACTGACAAGGATGCTGCTAATGGGAGAAGCAGCATACTGTATATAACCAGAACTGTTACGAGATGCAATATTCATCAATTACAAACTTCAGGATGTCATATTGTAAAATACCACATGATAGAAGATGCAGCATGGTGTCACAGCTGATTCCATTTACCATATGGCATGTTATTATTTTGTATTTCCTTGGAGAGCTTACTAAAGACAAAAGAAGAAAATAACACTTTCAAGGTATATAAGATAGTAATCAGAAGTTGCATAATTCTTGATTATAGCAATAAAGTCTATAACTGAGGTAGGAACTGAAAATTGGAGCCTGAGTGCATGCTGTACCGTTCTTCAGTTATTGAACAGAGAATACATTCTTATCAGGAACGGAAAGAAACTACCAATTATCATTTGTAAAAGTCCAAGAGACAGCTGAAAAGAAACCAAAACCAGGAAATGCTATGTATACTGTCATACACAATGACATACACTTTTTACATCCAACTTTCAGTGATCATTTGCAGAAAATGATAAACTAATAATCTTAGAAGATAAGACTTCATATACATTTATAGCCAGAACAAAATCATCTAAAGACTGGTCACAGCAACATGGAGAAATCATTACTTTAAAAAGATTAAAGTAAAAGGATTCTAAAATCATCATGGTAGTTGAAATTAAAGAAATTGAGTAGTTTTTTCAAGGAGGGGGAGAACCTAGACAAAGTCCACAAACATCTTTGTTTTACTAAATGTCAAATGAATCCACTAGAAAATATTTAAATGTAGTTCAAGTTAATGAGAGGATTAAAAAAGAATCCTACTACACATTAAAAACATACCACTTCCAGGCCTTGTCAGATTCTCATTTGCTCCATTTCTAGGAAGAAGTGTCCAGTTGGGCCTCCTCTACTGTCATGTACCATTAAAGCTACACATCTCCTTTACCTGCCCATAAGTAACTTCTGGCCTGTGCCTTCTCCACTCACAAGTTTATTGTCCATTCCTTCAGAGTGGAACTGTTTGGGAAATAACATTCCTATTCCATGGGAAATTCCAACTTTTCAAAACTTCGTTTTACATCAAATCAAATTTTAAAATTTCTCATGAAACAAGTCCAAGTATTTTGGTTCATCTCAACTTCTATTGTTTTAACTTGCTATTACAAGGCCCCATCTACATATTACACTTCAGACACAATTAACCAGTTAATCATGTCTTAAGTTGTCACCCAGCTACATGTTCAATCTATAGGTGGTGTGATAAAAGGAAGAATAAGCCACAAAGTTATTCCACAAAATGTGTGATAACTTTGTGGCCCCTTCCTATCTTGCTGTTAACTGAACATGGGGCCAGAGGCCTCTGTGGCTGGGAGCCTCATCAGCTGACATGTCTCCCAGCCAGGGACCCACGTACACCTCAGAGTCTGAGGGTTCACAGCACATACATGCTCCCAGTCATAGGAGCACATGCTCTCCCAGCTGGGAGCCCTACCAGCTAACAGGGGCTCCCAGCCCTGGGAGCTTGCTACTTACCAGTGTAGGGGGAGCCAAGGATCATGATCCTAGCCTCCCCGTGTATCAGCAATAAGGTGTGCTGAGATCTGATTAATGATCCCAAAATTGTGAATCCTGCCATCTACATGTGGCATGGCAGGAAGCACGATTGTGTAGATTGCACATCAGATGCCTCAGTGCCTTAACTTGCAC